AAAACATGTGCGCCATAGCTACACTGCGCACCATTTTCTCGGCTCTTGCCACTGGCCATGGCAGAGTCTTGACTCTACTCTCCCTCTGCCACACAGCCATGCTCACACCCACACACTCTCTTGGCCGCACTCTCTGTAACGCCCACGCATGCACACACACACGCACACTCTTTTCCCCTCTCTCTCTCTAACACACATGCACACACACAGACACATGGGCAAACTTCGTCCCATCTGTCTGTCCGCCTGTGTGTGTGTGTGTGTGTGTGTGTGTGTGTGTGTGTGTTTGGGCGTCGCTGCACTACTCTCCTAGTGTGCAAAATGAGACTGAATCCTCCGCTAGAACATGGAAAGATACATCGCCTTGCTGCACTACTCTCCGAGTGTGCAAAATGAGACTGAATCCTCCGCTAGAAAACGTTTTTTTCTTTTCTCTTTTTTCGTTTTTTTTCCTTTTTCGGACCGACGCAAAAAAAAACCTTCCTGTCCTTTGGGGCGAGAAGGGAGGATTGTATTTTCCTGAGTTTTCAGCTCATTCGGGACATGATTGTTTTCGATCTTCTGTTTACTTTTGTATGGTCAGCAAAAGTTTTGCTCAGGCAGGTCATTGGTGTTCCTATGGGGAAATCGTCCAGCTGTTCGTTGGCTTGTATCCTCTGCGCGTGGGCTGAGTTTAATTTTTTGAGCAGTCTGGGGGTTCACAGGCGTCTTGTTTTTGGTTTTCGGATTGTTGATGACGTTAGCATTTTTGTGGCAGTCGTAGGGACGGGTGGGTATGCTACAACTTCCTGGGTTTTGGATTGCTTCAGGTCTTGTTATGGTTCCAAACTTCGTCTGGAGCAAATGGATGATGGCTCGGGGGAATGGACGCTCGCAGGAATGTTAGTTCAGAGAGAGTGCACGGCGGTGCGTACCGTGGCCCTGGTAAAAAATGCTGATCCGATCTGGCACGAGGGTAGATTGGTCTTCGGATCCTACCAGGATTTTGGATCTTATTCGACTAAGCGAGCCAAGATTGGCGCGATCATTGGTTCGTTGCACAGGGTCTACAGGTGGTCATCAGATGGGTTTGGGCGTTTGCAAGCGTTCCTAGCCATCCGAAGGGAGCTGCTCATGCGGGAGTATCCTCCCCGGCTGGTCTCAATGGCCTTTGACAGATTTGTTCGGAGAATGAATTCGCCTGAGGCCCTATTGGTTGCCCGGATGGGGGGTGTTGGTGGTGGCGCTGGGGGGTTGGCCTCTTTGCCAAATTAGCCCATCCATGGGCTTGACACTACACAGGGGGGTTACCTTGCCTGAGGGGTCTGCCCACGCAACCGCTGTGTTCTGAGATACCCTGGCTCCTCGAGTGGCACCATGATATGTGGCGATTGCAGGTCTTTTTGGATGGATCCTCCCGGTTTGTTAATCGTGGTTCGGCTTCTGGAACAACGATCGGGGGGTTTGTCTTTCGCTCTTTGGTTCCTGGGACCTCTTTTTTGGTTTTCGAAGGGATCTGGCTGTTTTCACGGTTTTTTTTTCGGGCTCTTCCACCTTCGAAGGGATCTGACCGCAGTTCCGGTTGCATACCGTTCGTTTGCACCTACTTTGGTTGGGGCCTGTACGGCTGCCGAAGGACAGTTTTCGGGGACTTTACGACGCCTGGCCTGGGACAGTTTTCGGGGCTCTATCGTTCTGGTCGATCGATGACAGTATAATTTCGCGTTGTTCATTCAGTTCAGCCTCATTCACCTCTCGACTGTGGCGCGGCATCGAAGCTCGCTTCTTCTTCCTCATCGGCTCCCGCTGGTTGCTGTCATGCCAGTTGCTTCGGTGGCGGCGCCAGCAACGGGGACGCTGGTTGCCAGTGCTTAGTTGGCTGAGGATGTGCTTCGCTGCATCTCTTACTTCACTGCGCCGACGCTTTTCGGGAGGCTGTCTTCTGTGCTTGTCTTTGGCTTCCTTCTTCTTTGTTCTCTTGTGTGCAGGTGATTGAAGGCATGACTTTCACGGTGGATATGCGACTGAACGTGCTGAATGAAGGGTTGGGATCGCCCTCTCTTTCCTTTCATTATTATCTATCTCACGTATTACGCCACGTCGTACATAGAGTGATGGGAAGGGTGCCTCAGTTTGGTGTATGGCCGAGGGTAGGGGTAGGGTGATGAACTATAAAAACGGGGGTAGGCTGTAGGTTGTGCCTCCAGGATTGAGCATTCGGATCAGTGGGTAGTATCCTCCTTATGAGACTACTTGCGGGGTAGGCGAAACGCGTTGGGGAGAGGCCGCGTGGTATGTGGGGCGAGTCACTGGTGATGGTGCTCGCAGTTCCAGAATCGATTATGGTCTTCTCTGGTGTATCTTTCGAATTGATTCCTTGGTCGGGTTTTTTGCTCAATATTGCATGCGTAATAGTATGGTTTGTATTAGTATATCATCATTGCTATTCTCACGCTACAACTGATTTTGCTCATCAGTTCTTTCCTTCCTTCCTTCCTTCATTCAGGTGATGCCACGTTTTTTCCTTTTTTCGCTTCTTTTTTCGTTTCTTTTTTTTTCGGCTCGTCCCACAGGCGATGCCACGTTTCTTTTTTTTTTTCTTGTCTTTTCTTTTTGACATTTCTTTTCCTTTTCCTTTTTCATTTTAAATTCAATTCATTTTCAGGATAAGTGCTTTTTTTTCAGGAAAACCGCTCTTCCCGTAGGATAAACTGTTGGCTATAAAAAAAAAAAAAAAAAAAAAAACTTGCTTCATTAGTAGTTGGTTCTACTCATCGAGTTGCATCATCTGGATTCGACCTCGACTCTGTATTTCAACTGTTCATGGGTGTACCCATTCAGCTAGTCTCTTGTTTTTTTTTTTTTTTTTTTCTTTCATTCTTGCGCACTTGGATGTTCCCGCCCGATTGTTTGTTGCTGCGCGCGCGAATGCGAAAACGGCGCGTACCAGAAACGAAAAATGAAAACGAAAACGACAACACGATGGAAGAAAAATGAGAAAACGAAAACAAAAGAAATAAAAGAAAAAGAAAACCAAATTGGAATACGCGCGCCATCTCCGCAGGACGCACACTTGTCTTGGTTCGTGCCA